CCAAACCCAAAAAACGTCTGCCGGCCGACGACGAGGTCGGCCAAATTAAGTCCCTAAACTTCAAGGGATTTCTGCACTGACAAGGACTGAACTGTTTCTATACTAATGCCCAGGGTTTTTTTAGTAAGTTTCCAGAAGTGAAACTACGTTGTCGGACCGGTCGATGGAATCTCATTGCCGTAACCGAAACCCGGTTAACGACTGACATTTTGCACTCTGAGCTGCGATTACCGGGCATGGAGCTATTGGGGCGTGATCGTCCAACGCGAGGTGGGGGCGTGTTGCTCTACTATCATAACAATGCGAGCAAATTGAGTACCCGTTCGCTGCTTCAGATACGTTATGGTGTAAACTGAAGCTAACACAACATGATATCGGGCTGATCGGTGTAGTTTATCGCCCCCCTTCGTCAGCAGATTCATCAAATGAGACTTTGTTGCAAAGAATGTCTTACTTCCTGTCATTGAATTTCACCCACGTTCTTGTTATGAGTGACTTCAACGTGGCTACATCGTGTACGACAGTTGAAGTAGTTCATCCAGTCACATCCGTTGTACAATCAGGTAAAGGAACCCACCAGGTTTGGAACCAACCAAATTTCGCCAACTTTGGATCTAGTACTGACAAATGAAGAATTGATGGTCGAATCAATTGCATTCGTAACTCCGTTGGGGCGCAGTGATCACGCTGTATTGTTCGAATACGTTTGCTATGCATGAGTAATAACAGGTTCTTCGGATCGCTTTCGCAGCACAACGGACTATACAGAACTAAATAACCTGGCTCATGGAATCCAGTGGATCCTCCCTGATATGGACTGCAATCCCCTGGAATCCTGGAGAAAATTTACTAACAGCATCACAATATTGGTGGCTGCTGTTACAACCATCAAGCGTCTATGCCAACCGACTGTCCGAAAATCAGCATGTCGCAGTCAAACTAGGAAATGGATGATGCAAAGGGGCTTTCACTGGAGGGAGTTCAAACGCTGTCCATGCCCCAACACTTGGGAAGCTTACAGGCTCCTTTGAAATCATTGTACAAATTTGGTGCGGGAAGGCAAACACAATTATCATGATATGCTGGCGAGGAAGTTTATCGCAAACCCTAAGCTAGTATATAAGCATGTAAACGGCGTTCGGATACTAAACTCAGCAGGGCGTTTCAGCGACAATCAAGAAGACTGCAGAAATGCTTAGACTACAGTACTCTCAAGTGGTCAGTTTCCCTAGTAACGCTGGGTTCGTACTTCTCCGTTTGCTGGAACATATTCCTTACCCATTACTGACAAACATTATCTTTTCTACCGAAAGGATTAAGGTAAAGCTCCTGGGTTTGAAGAACTCATCGCTGTGTTTAGACAACATTCATCCACAAGCCCTTATCACCCTGACAAGTCACAGCCGATCCTTTAAGTGGGCTATACCAAAAACTGTTCGAAGATACCGTGCTTCCTCAGGTGTGGAAAAACGGTGTCATTTCACCAATTTACAAAGGTGGATGCCGTAGTGACCCGGCCGACTACCGACCCGTCACTGTCCTTTCAGTGTTGTCCAAAGTCATGGAATCTATTGTTGCAAATTCGGTAATGGATCATCTGGAGAAGAATGACTTACTATCCCCAGCCCAGCACGGGTTTCGAAAAAATCGTTCATGTGCTACTGACTTGATTTTGGCTCGGGACGATTAGACTCATGCTGTAGACCAAGGCCAAGTGGTAGATGTTATTTACCTGGACTTCTCTAAAGCATTTGATAGAGTAAATCATCAAATACTGATAAAGAAGCTGTATGATTAT